GGGGGGGTCTTGTTGCAGGCTGGTATGTGGGTATGGCTGCTGGGGACGGGGGAAGAGGGGGTTCGGCATTTTTTTTTTTTATTCCTGCGCAGATGGCGCACAGGCCGCAGCGCGCGCACAGTGTGCACCCTGCTAAACCAGCGCACCGCACTTGTGCGCCGCAACTATGCTCTTCACCAAAACTGCAAAACAGTGAAAGAAAGAAGAATCCAGTGAAAGAAAAAAGATATTTGGGTCACTTTTTTTTGTTTTTTCTCCCTCTGCCTATCGGTTTTCCTTTTCTGCTCCTCTCTTCCTTGTGTTTAACACCTCTTCCTTACCTCTGCCTCTTTCCCATACCGTGCAAGTGGGCTGTTATGGCATACGGGGATGGGGGCAGCTCGCGGTCAACTTCATCAACGTGGCGAGCCTTATACGTTAGAGGCATAGTGGAGGAGGCGTTAAGAAGACTGAGAAACTGAATGATTTCAATGTGTCTTTGTTTTTATTTTTATCCTTTGATTCAGTGTAAATTTTTTTATTTTTTTTGTAAAACACTGAAAGAAGTAATAATACTGTGAAACAAAGAACTAGAGGACACTGTTTTGTGTCATTCTGGTTTGTCTGTCTCTTTGCCTCTCTGTCCTTTCATTTTTCTTTTCTTCGCTCATCTTATTACTTCTTCAACTTCACGTGCTTACGCTCTTAGTCAATAGTTCTGTGACAATATATATATTATATATATCATGGTAACCGCCTGGACGTCCGGACTGGGTTCCGGACAGTCCGGTGTCCGGTGTCCGGTCCCCATGTCCGGATGGAGGCCCCTGGGAAAAAAAAAAGAAAAAAAAAAGGGTGTCCAAGGACGTTTGTTGGGTCCTAGCCGCCCCTTGAAAAATAACGGGGTGATTTTTAAGTGTCCTTTCACCCCACCGGACATGGCTTAGAGGTCCAGACACAAGACACTGCAGGTTTTTGAGGTGGCGGGTTTCGCACAGGCCCGAGCAATTTCAAAGTGGCCGTTTCGACATGGCGCCCGCCGCTCCTGCCCATTAGGGGGAGAGAGAAAGAGAGAGAGAGAGAGCACTGACAGTGCTGCCAGTTTGAAGACTCGGACGTTCTGAGCTATATATAAATTAATGAACGTAAATTACCAAATCCAAAGTTCAAAGTTCAAAGTTAATCGTACTTGAAAAGAAAAAAATAATTCTCTGTTTCTTTAGTCTTGTGCTCGCTTTGCACTGTTTGCAACTTTGTCTGCTAGTTAAATGTGCTGGTTGATTTGCTGCAAGACACGTGCTCTGCTGCCTGAACTACAGAGTGCAAAGCAGGTAAGTGCCTGCCAACACCCCCACGCAACCTCCCCCCGGTTATTTTTTTTTTGTTTTTTTGGGTCTGGGTATTTTTGCAACCCGGGGACTGGTCCAGACTGTTCGGTGTCCGGTGATGTCTGGTGTCCGGTGATGTTCGGATCACCGGACAGTCCAGACCGGTCCAGACACTGGTCCAGAAGACAGTCCAGAAGTGTCCGGTGTACGGTCCAGGGTTACCATGGTTTGTATATATTATGTATATAGTATATATATATTATGTTGCACTTGGTTGTGGAAAGCATCGACTTTGTTGACATCACTAGAACCGTATAATTTTTCAGGCCCGCTGTCGGCAGGGATGCCACCAGTATCCGGATTGTGAACATCCTCTACATCCAGATGCAGTATGTCCCATCTGTGCCTGCGGGCGCTGTAGTGAATGTGCACTTAACTGTGATGGTGAACGCCCCACAATCGTCATGGCCTGCAACAGGCATGCCCTCTGTCGTTCATGCTTCAGAGGTATGGTTAATGCCAGCCGCCCTGGCACCTGCTGTGACGAAGTTGCTTTACTGAATGGTTTTCGTCCTTTAGATCAGCGGGAGGGCTGCTACCATCGCCCGCATCCTAATGACAGTTTTCCTATCTGTCGTGAGGGTCTTACTTAGACGTACCCTGCACCCTGACAAAAATGTGCAGGTGCACTGAAAAGAGTGTACAAGAATGTGCAAAGGTGGCGAACCCTTCACTAAAACTGCAAAACTGTGAAGAATGCAGTAAAAGAAGAACATAAGTTTGTGTCGTCTTACTTTGTTTGTACCCTGCACCCTAACACCCTCAAAAGAAAAGTCCGAAGGGTGAAAATGAAGATGAAAAATGAAGAAGGAAGTGCAGGTGCGCTGAAAAGCGAACGTGGTAGACTCTTCACCAAAACTGCAAAACTGTGAAAGAATAAAAAACAAAGACACTGTAATGACCGGTCATAACACAGACTGAGAACACTGCTGATTTCTGAAGTTCTGCCGATGCCTTGATGAGATTCCCGCATTCTGCTGTGTTTTCTAAGTCTGTCTGTGTGTGTGCGTGCTTGTGACCTGCATGCCTGTCTGAGTGCTTGTTGGTATGAGTGTGTGTGGGACCCACAAGGGTACTTGCTTGTTTGGTAGGCCCGTAGGGCCGGTACTTACCTGTGGCCGTGGCATTGAGGGTTGTAGGAAGGAAAACACTCAAGTGGCGAAGCTAGCGGCCCTGAGGCCCTTGGGGTAGCGGAAAAACACTCAAGTAGGCCGGTAGGCCGATACTGCACCCCACTGCAGTTGACGTGAGGGGTACTGGAGGCCGAGCAGAAAAAGACAAAGTTGGCATTTTTAGAGTCCAGTAGCGGTAGGGTAGGTCTAGGCCGGTACCAGTCCAACTAGTCTGAGTCTAGAGCCTGTACGGGTAATATCAGGGTCTGCAATGATGTTTCCCTCCGAAACGGAGGAGGTACCGGTTGCTTGGACAGGCCGAGCGGCCTGAAAGTCACCGCCCAAGAGGCAAGCAGGCCGCTATATCTAGAGGCGGAGGCAAGAGCTCCGCCTCATTCTTCAGTGTGCGAGTTGGGCTTCATGCTGCTGGAGCGCTAGGTGGAGCGCTGGGCACTACAGCGCTGCTGGGAGGAAGAAGCCGGGAGCTTCCGCCTTGGCTATGGTGGAGCTCAGCCGGTAGGAGGAGGAGGGAGAAGGGGACCAAGGAGGAGAGTGGTAGGGTACTTACCTGGCCATGGTAGACACCATCTTCATCTCCTTGCTAGGCGCTGCATCAGGAAGGCCCCAGTGGGGGTAGTGCTGCATCAAGGAAGCTCGGACAGAGTCAGGCATGGCGGTTGAGTGGGCAGCGGCATAGATGCTGGGTGATGACCTTGGAGTAGGGCAGCGGTGTAGCTGCTTTAGGTCGTCTCTTGTACAGGAGGCTGAAGCCTCCATAGTCCGCCATAGCCTCGGCCTGTATGTGGAGGAAGAAGAAGGGCTGCCATGGCTATGGTGGACCTCATCTTGTGCCTGCAGTAGAAGTGGGATTCGGACATTGATTCTGGTTCAGCTGTTCAACATTATTATTGTTTATTTATTGTTTGAATAAGAGAGGAGGAGATAAAGAGGAGGTTGTTGAGCGAAGAAGAAGGGCTTTGTCTTTGGTCTATGCTAGAGTACATCATCTCTTTCTTCTTTACCTCTCTCTCCTCTCAAGTTCTTTCATTTCTTTTGCAATTGGACGGCATTGGGCTCAAGTTCATTCATTTCTTTTCGCAATCGGACAACATTGTACTTTCTGATGATTGTGGACTTCAAAATTGGCCAGGATCGTAACAACACATTGAAATCATTCAGTTTCTCAGTCTTCTTAACGCCTCCTCCACTATGCCTCTAACGTACAAGGCTTGCCACGTTGATGAAGTTGAGCGCGAGCTGCCCCCATCCCCATATGAAATCACACTACGATTATTCAACTTGTCATGTATGCAAACAGCGAAACAGCAAATTGGCGACAGGCGCCCACTCAATACTCAAGATGTCGTATCCACATAAGAGTTCTCTTCAAACTGGCTATGGCGACTGAGCGCCCACACAACTCACTGTTC